TTTAAGGAGGTCTGGCTGATGCCAATGATATGTTTCTTGACGAACAAGCTAGCTAGATAACATGAGACTTAAACGACAAATTTATCCTCACAACATTATATTGTAAAATATCTAAACTCAATTTTATTTTACGATTAGCCTACAATACTTTCATTCAGGTTCATTTTTAAAATTATTTTTGAAAACCAACATTCACTTTGAATTTTTTTTATAATTTGGAGTGAAAATTAATGAACTTTAGATTATTTAATGAAACTTATCAAATAAAAAAATACATATTTTCTTTAAATAATTACGAAACTAAATCTGCAAACTTTAGTTCCAAGATTGAACATTATTCACCTAGATTAAATCATGGTTAATTGACATTTAAAATTCTCGCGACATTTTTTTTGGTTTTTTTTTATGAATTTTTCATTTTAATATGCTACATCATAGTATTCATTAATGTTGCGTTTCATGATGTAATTATTGATTTGGAGAAAAATGAGCTCATTGATCAAATGGATTGGATTTGATAAAGATTGAAATTTTTTGGAGAATATTCTTTATTCAAAAAACAATAAAACATTATGTTATGAATGATACATTGTAATGAGATTTTGTTTATATTAAAAAAAGGACCAATAATGAACCTACAAAATATTTGTCTCTAAAATGTGATTATTTTATTTAATCATATATTTGATGATTTTTCAATTTGATTTAAATTAAATGTTGATACAGTTGTATGCATCTTGATTTAAATATAAATGAGTGAATTTGATATATAGTCAAACATATGGTTAAGTGTAGTTTAAATATTTTTTTTCATTCAAATCTTAAATGAATATAGAGATAGAATTATTTACATTAATTGGATTTCAATATTTTAGAATTTATTTATGACTTACATATATCATCTTGAAACTATAATATAAATGTAAACTGATTACAATTATATTACTCATATATTATATAATGATATAAATTATATTTTTACATAATAATAATTTAAAAAAATTTGCATTGATTCAAAAAATAAAAACTGGCAAGATACAATGTTAATACGTCCTAGTGGATGCAATACTGAAATGAGCTGAAATGGATGCAGTGCCCGCACTTCCGATGTCGTCGTCACGTTCTCGTCTCCACCACCTTCGATTCGAATCGATCTTCTGCGTCAGCCTAGTTTCGTTTCGGCATGAAAGCGGAATCAACCATTATTGATTCCGCTACAAGATATCTCTCAACAGGTCCCAAACGTTAGGGTTTCTGATATCGCCGTGAGCGGATGCGCTGCCCTCACCTCGTCAACACTGAGTCCGCAGATTAGTCGAGGATCGAATTCGGATTTCCGCTGAGTACATATTTCCAAGACTTTGCACACAGCAACTTAATCTCTTTCGAAGATTTCACAGCTGGAATCGTCACGTTCCTAAGAAAGCCCAAAACAATCGTCCTAAATTTTCTTTCGGCGAGAAATACACTGAAACATCGAACTAAGCTAGTTTTGGCTGAAAATCTGTTGGTATACACACTCATAGCTGTTGTTGAATGTGTGCGCGGCACTGCGAGCAGAAAATTCTCATGAAATCATCTCTATGAATTGTAGCTCTTTAAAGGTCGTGTAACTTCAAATTATTCAAAATAAAAATTCTTCAAAGGTTTTTGGATTCATTTGCTTCCCTGTATCCCTTGTTCGGTCAAGGTTCTGTGAAGCACAGAACCTTGACCGAACGTATCACAGAGACAATGAAACTTCGGTTTGATCAATGTCAAAGTAATCTGCCATCAAGTCATTTCTCTTGACGTAACAACTGGCAGGCATGAAACCAGTTGTTGCACCGTTTCAACGGACTTCTCTTGCTAAAATTTAGTCCTGGGATGATGATACATCAACAGGTTGGTGTACAACTATTCGAGAAAAGATCAGAAATTGTATCAACCTATCGGTTGTGAGCTGCTGAAAATGTACCGCTCATTAGCGTCAATAGAGAGGGCCATCTAGAGGATTTGAGCGCTCATTAGCACGTTCACATGATTACCATCTTACGCAACATGGCCTTTACAAATTACTGCAGGCAGAGAGGTCAGGAAAAAGTGATTCTTCAACCAAAGATGATTCCGGAGATGACTTCACAGTTCCACCGCCGCAGTCATTGAGTCATGCAGATGTATTAGGGCACATCCATGAGTCGAACTCTCGACAATTCACCTATATGCTGCAAGAACGCAAGCACTTAGTTCCTGTTCTGAGTTTCCACGTCAATGTATCTTACTCCAAGCGCGAACTCAGTGGCAAGTTTCAAGTTTCAGTGGCCGATGACTTCAGATAAAACATAGATTGATTGTTTCGATACAAGGGTGGGTGGGAGAGTCGAATGCATGAAGTCACTGATTAGTGACTTCATGTTGGATTAGTGAATGCTGGATTAGTGACTTTACTCAGCAACGCTGAGTAAAGTCACTAATCCAGTGGAAAGACACACACACATGTGCAGCGGATTTCCCAGTAAAGTTTCCATTGACAAATGGAAACTTTACTGTACTTGGTTTATTATCAAAAGGGGAGATATCAACTTTGCTGTACTAAACAAGCGAGCTTGCTCAGGAGAGAAAATAAATCTGAAGTAAAGTTTAGGACAACGTTGCTCAGTCAGACTCACCTCTTCAATCTCTTACCGCAGTGTTACCAACATAGGTATAAACCCGAGCTCCGATAAACATTTTATCACGCATCAATTCCTCACAGCAATGTCAGCTATAGAGTGTGGATACTTTGGACTCGTCATTGTCGTTCTAGCATATGCACATCCCACTCGTTTCCTTAGTCATGGATGTTTCAAGCGTCAAACTGTCCCCATCTCTGGCCGTTGCCTACGTATTGGGACCATTCCTTCTAATTTCAGGCAAGACTTGCCTGAAATCGGCTGCGAGGTCTATGAAAATCCTGAAAATCGCTCTAAGACTTGCATAGCTCACCTTGCACATCATTCTGCTGAGTGTTTGTTGTCCACATGAGATATAATCTGTGCTTAAGGTTCATTCATACAGGGCTTCTCAAGCAAGGGTGGGAGCGTCTGCAACAGGAATGCTCTGCATTTGGGTTCAGGACTCCTTGACAGGTTCAGGAAGTTTCTTCTTCTTACTAGGATCTTGCATATACAGCTGTTATCTGGATGCCAGTTGTGATAGACACGTTCTGGACGCGTTTCAAGATTGGTTGAGCTCTAGGTTTAAGATGTCTTAAGAAAATCTTCTCTTTGATAGAGCGGTGCGAAGGATCCACAACGGTGAAAGTGGTCGTCTTCCTTTTTGAGTCCGAATGGAGATAGTGACGGCATGTCGAGCGCATCTCCAGAGCCAATCGTGATTCATACCAGGAGCTACACAGTTCTTGTATAGGACTACGCTACTGCCGTTCCGGCTCACTTATTCTCCTGGGACCAGATTGACCCCTGGTTTTCATAGCTGACGGCCATATCCTTCTGCATGTTTCTCAATTCATAAACCCTTGAACAGTGGATCTACCTAGCTCGCTTCCATACTGATGCATGAAGGCCTCCGATTGTTTTTCCCGTTTGAATATTTTAAGTCGGATTATTTTCTGCTGTTATATTCTAGATTATGAATTAGAAGCTCTTAACTTCCGATCACGAGAAAGTGCTTACGCCAACTTTGTAGCACCATATTTACTGTATTTTCCTTGATCTATGAATTCTGACATCTCTATGTTCGAAAATGATTTTGTTAGCAATGGAAACTGTGGACTCTGATAATCATCACTGCACTTTGAGCCAGAGTCTTGTTCCGGGCATCTGTAGAACTTCACAAATCTTCTGCAGAACCACGTCTTAAGGTTGACTGAGCAGATGAAGCGTTTCTTCTAGATCATACAATTTCATTGCCTCTCGGATCCACGTTTGAAATCGCAACAATTTGAGTGCAGTTCATTCCAGAAATTCAATCGAAATTGGGTAAAATATATACATCATAAGAATTTCAACTGCAATCGTTGAAGTAACTTGATAATGAGCTGCCTTCTTTTGCAATATCTCTTTCTTTCAGCTGGATAACTCTAAACTCACGTCAGCGCGTTGGCTACGCTGATCTAACATGATGTGGATTATGCTGACGACTATTTTATTTTGTGTATGTACCAGGATTGGGATGCTGAGATACGAATTAAAGTTGGCTCAGGCTTCGTAGAGGTCGAGTCTCCTCTTTTTACAAGGGCCTCAGATTGTGGCCCCAAAACAAGAATGGCTACCTTAAGCAAATCGAACCTTATGCTTCGTTGGACTTGGCACAGGCAGAGATTTATGTCGGCCCCCATTCAAAATCCCGACCCGGCCTGAGCCCTTCCCTCCGGCCATGCAACTCTACTGCTACGATTCAGCTTTTCTTTGTCGATGTACCCTTTCAAGCCAAAAAAGCCATGAATGTAATGGATGTAACCCTGCCAGCCTTTAGCCTACGCACATAGGGCTTACGTCTCTATTGCATACGAGTCCTTGGGTTACACCTGGATCTTGGTCCAAGTTGCAGCAAAACATTTGCATCATCGGTTTCACATGGCTTCGTGCAAATCGTCGAATGTCATGCTAGGGTCATCCGGCTCGAGAACATATATGACATTAGAGATATTTACAGATAATTGATCCTATCTCCAGACAAACCTCTCATCATCATAGTAGGTCACTGACTCCTTGTTCAAATACACGTTGTAATGAAATACTATGGGTAAGATAGGACAGCAATTTCCGGTTATATGAACTGTATTATTGTTGCTTCTTTCCGCTTATGTGATTGATGACATTTCATATCGACTTTTCACCTACAGAGTTCTGTATAAGAGTTCTCTTCATTCTCTTTGGGAATTTCTCGGTCTAGACTTAGTATTTGCAAGTCTCATGCAAATGAGACTAGAAGATGGTATATGGTAAATAGATCAAGCCCGTGGGACCCAAAGGGTCAAAAGGCTGAATAACACAAGACAAGAGAGGGAAGACATGATGACGGCATTGACGTATGACGGCTCTCAAACGTCGTGCATATAGTGCGGAGCAGTCTAGTCTTGATTTGCCAGATATATTTCTCGATGCATGCTATTCATGGTTCGTGCCCACCTTGCAATCTGGAGGATACTTCAATCGTTCAAATATGTGTAAGGTTGACTAGTAGTACATCGTTTTGAGCTTGTCACTTGAACCTACTAATCACGATGCCACTGTCCTGGAACACCTTCTAGACTTTTGCCTTGGGATATATTGAGTACATCATCTTGAGCTACTAGAACGAAACCACTCCAAAGAGCCAGAACTGACTTACTGCTCACCATCTTGTCTGGTTCTTTTCACCGTGTAGATCAATGCAATTGCTGACTGAATTAGTCTTATGGCCTGAGAGCGTTTTACTGAATGCAACTCATTCCTGTCCAGATGACCTGATAATTCTCGTGCGTCGTTAGGGCTGGTCCGAATTGCCTCCTCCGTGCTGCGCACGTACGATGGGAATGTCTGTCATCGGATAGCGCCGACGCCGAGGACACACTTTATAAGAGATGCTCTGGAAAACCAGAAGCCGGGAGTCCCTTGGAGGGAGTTGCTCGGCATTGGGACGTGTTTCGAATGGGGGGCCTCCAAACCTGGTGAGATGATGGATGGATGATCGATGGATTCCTACATCGTCTATTTTCTAGCGCAGCTGGACCAGAGCTCAGATCTTGTACTTGAAAGTTGATCGCAATGCCTCAATAGTCAACGTGTGATACGCAGCAGCTGCGAGAATGCATCGAGCAGGCTAGTTTGAGAATCTTCTCGAGACATTCGGGTCAAAAGGGGCTCAGTCGTAGGATTGCGATTGACTGAGTCAGTCCGTGGCATTTCGATCCTGCTCGTGCGGACTCCCCTGCACCGCCACCTGCGTTCGGCTCGCAATTTTCTGGCCCGGTTCTCGTGACGTCCGTGAACGAACCCGTCAGGATCTCTCAAAGCCGTCCTGACACGCGAAGAATCAGTTTTTTGCTTCTCCCCGACGTTTTTAGTACAGCTGAGCTGCCACTCTGAGCCTCGGCGGCGTCACAGAGACATCCGCTGCCAGAGGTCGAGCAGAAGGTTACAGCTGTAACCTTCTGTAACTTCATCTGCAGGCTCTGATTCCAGATCACACCGCTGCTCCTGTCTTCTAAACCAGCATCGGGTTGCGACAATGACTTCCTAGCCTCACTTTCCTGACTCAAATGAAAAAAATTGGGTTCTTTTGCTAACTGGAATGATCTATTCTCCTGATAACAGCCACGGTGGAGTTTTGCAAATTAAGGTCAATTGGCATATCTGGTTCAGGTCGAGCAGCTGAAATCGAGAATTACAGATGGACGACATAAGTAGTCTCCTGCATCAGGTATCACACGAGTCATGGAGCACGAGCCAAACACGAGTCATGGAGCACTATTATCTTCTGATTTAGCTGATGGGACTCGTAGGACCAAGCCTGATGATTAAACCATGAACAACATGCTCACTATCAACTAGATGGCAACAACAGTAGGACAAGAGATTTACATCACTAACATGGAAGCGATTGATGAGGCCCGGCAGAAGAAACTGTGATCAGGTGTGATTGTGCATGTGACATTGTGTGCACAGTTCACTACAAAGACCGAAACATCTCAGCGCTTCGGGAAATCTGCTTGGCGAGAGCGCTTCGATTGCCGTAGGCTTGCTTTTCTGCCCAACCGCATCATGGAATATATAATTAACAGAATTAAACATTACTTTCATTGCGGTAGGTACACCAGATATAAAGTCGAGAATGTTTTACTCACGGAGCGATTCAAACCCATCCGAACGGATCGGCAGAGTGAATAGCTTATTTTGGGAACTGGGGGTGGAGTTTCTGCTGATCGAGCTCGATAATCTTGTCGAAGAGCGCGAAGTTCAAGAAGCGCTGCGTAGGTTAACTCGACAGAGCACAGTTCCGAACATCTTCATCGGTGGCAAGCACATTGGCGGATGCGACGATACGATGGATCTGCACATGAGAGGGCAGGTAATGCCCTCGCTAACAGCTGACAAGAAGACTGTAAGCGCACGATGCAGAGAGCTCCTCACAATGACATGTCCGGACTTGCGCTTTTGCCGATGAGATTCGATGCGAGCCCTGCGTCTCCCGAACATCGCACAGGTTTCGAAATCCGCAGGTCCCATATGATTTGTGTCAGTCGCGGCAGGAGACAGAACGGATTCTCGAAGACGAGAGGCAGATCGTTGGGTGCAGCAATTCTGCGGAGAGGGTTAATATAGAGAGAAGTACGTACAGACAGTGAATGACCGAAAGACACAGAGAACGGCGAGAATTACCTTCGCAGTCCCTTACTCAAAAGGCAAGTAGATTCATCGACGAAGAGGAGTGACAAAATCTGACAAACGCGAAGTAAAAAGAACCCTAGCCCGTCAATCACAGGAACTCCAGCGAGAGAATGAAGTGCAGGAACCAGCGAAAACTGTTCTATATATACAGACTTGGAGGCAGCTAGTAACCGCGTCATGTACTCATTGGCTCCTGAGTTTTTGGTTCATTTAGGTGCCAAATCCCGGACCGTTTATTTTAGGCGCCTAAACGACTGCGCGTTTAGATCATTTAGACGCCCCCATATACGGTCGTCGCCTATTTCAACCATGCCTGCGTATGGCTGTCCGCTGGCTGTGCAGATAGTCAACGGAGGGCAAGGGTTCGGAATTTAGATCGCGTGCGAGCTCGCGGGCAGCATCTGAGATACCACACGAGGTCGCGACAGTGCGCAGATATCCGCTGCACCAGCAGCAAGTTTGGCCAACAGCGGCATCAGTCGTCGTTATATGCACGCCCGCAAGTAAAACTTTTATCCAGCGCGAGTAACTGCGCGTCACGGGAAAGGATCCGGGAGCTGCAATCCACGATACGCGAAATGCGTTTCACAACACACAAAATCGCGGACAACTGGATCGGCGATGGCGGTCCTCGAGCTTCTTCAAAGTGTGCCTATTGCAGCGCGTGGCTAGCTTCCGGTATAGTCTCTCGTGCGCTGGATTACCGTGCCTCTAGATCTCGCCGAGAGGCCGCGAGGTCGGCACTGCAGCTACCTGTTGACTCTCTAGGCTCGCGGGGGAAAGTATTGAAGGATGGTATCGGTCTCTCATCCGATGTAATTGTGGAGCATCTCCGGGAGCAAAAGCTAGCGCTTCGTTCGGTGCAGTGGATCAGCGGACGAAGCTTCGAGTGAAGTGCGGAGTGGGAGACCTCTCCGGTGTGAGATATGAGGGTCCGGGGACTGTGGCGGAGCAAAGTTGCAGCAGAGGATGCGCGAGCGAAAGTCGGGCTTCTTCGGGGGAATTCGCAAGTGGAGATGATAAGGCGAAGGGTAGCTGGCAGTTTGGAGTGCGTGTTTCCATGTACACTCAAATATTGGCGTGTGCCTCGGGAGTAGCTGAGCAACAAAAGGGGTTTAGGAGTTCAGAATGCAGATGCGCATCTGACATTTGGGCCAGAGCGATAAAACGTAAAGGGCGGGCCTGCCCGAGGAAGGTTTTGCCCCAGGGAGGCGTGCCGTGTCGAGATCACCAAATGTGTCGAGCGCTAGCCTTGATCCTCGTCCTTCTCGCGGTTCTCCTGAAGGACCATGCCTCCTCCGTGCATGGGCAGCAGGCGCCGCCTGCTGTGCCCCTCGCGGCTCAGAACTTCTTCAATGAAGCTGAGAGTTCGGTGGAGTCTCTCGCCGCCAATGCTATTCTTAACTACAAGAACAGAGAAGGTACCGTTCGACCGCACATCCAGTCAACAGAGTTTTCATGTAACACAATAACATTCAGAGAGAGAGAGAGAGAGAGAGAGAGAGACTGATAGAGCGAGATTCATCTGCGGAAAAATGAACCGTGCTCGATGCAGGCGAGGAGATATGGGTCAGAAAAGAGATCTGCGTTTGGATCCACGCCCAAGTACGGACTCGCTCTACAGGCTGATCTTGTGCTCCGATCTCGAGTATTCATAGTCAGCCAACCTCTAATCTCTGTAGATGTGAATCAGTTGAGAAGGTCTGGAAGAGCTGCCCCCAGGGTGAGGATCAGACTGGAAAACCTCGTGTTCTGATATTATGATAGAAACTGAAAGGTCTAAAATTTCCTGAAAGCTGCAGTTATGCTCATGGTGAGCCCATCGTGCCCTACGTGAACATTCGTGTGTGTGTGTGTGTGTGTGTGTGTGTGTGTGTTTTAGTGTAAACGTGTAGTTCACTTCTCTCACGGTCGGTCCACCTTGCGGGTAACGCTTCGAATACTCACTTATCCGTGCAAAACTGATTCTGTTGCCCATTGTCTTGCGCAGCATTGTTTACCACATGCAACTCGAATTCGAGATGTTCTGCTTACGCCTGTCAGCCTGTGGACCCCTCTTCAAGCGACTCGCAATGTTTGGCCATGCCCGGGAACATAGTCTGTGGAGGACCCGTAACTAATTCAAGCTGTAAGAACGGCACTGTGTCGTCGAGTAGTTATATACGGTAAGACTCGGAACTTACAGAAAAGAAATCTTTGTTTAGAAATACTGTAAATGCAATACGAGCGAAGTCTCTTGAGGCAGAGACTTCGCTCTTTCGCCACACCAGCGCTCCATAGCTGTTAGTCATGGATGGTTTGCCAAGAGTAGGGACGAGACTTCAGTTCACCAATCGATGTATTGTGCTAACAAGTAGTTTAGGTTCTGGACCTTTTTGCTTCAGCACTTCGTCCTAAGTATGTCCCAAATCTCCAAACAACTGGATCAAAATCGCGATAACCGGGACGAATACCCAGTAAAGACATTTTAACACATGTCGTTAAGCGTCCGGCACATTCAAAACGTAGTTATCAAGAAATCTGTCCAATGTGTCTACGCAGCACACTGACCGGAAGAGCAGTCTGTAGCTGCCGAACTCTTTGCCGAGAACCCGACGGAATCCGAGCAATTATCCTATTTGAAACAAAAGGGTGGATAGTGCTGGAGGTGGTCTTATGAATGCCCAGATTCGACCTCGGTAAAGACCCGCAGCCAGGAAGAAGGAATAACGACGTTTGCGTTGTAATCTTATGACGAATCTGCATGCAGTAGATCTTTGACTGAGTGAATTTGTGTCTGGCTTCGATGCAGGCTGCCTCCGAAGGCCAAACAGTCCGACTTAACGTGTGACGCTCAGTTGTCGATTTGTTCTCAAAAGGATCTCGATTCGCAGTCCTTCGAGAAAATATACTCGAACGATGGTGGTCCATTCAACAAAATCGCGTGGTCGTTTTTCGGGTTCTCTAACGGAGTCTTTCGTATCTACCCAGGATTGGTACGTCACTCGGGACAGCACTGGCACGACTGAGAGCTTGAAAGTGTGGAAAATTTCGATTGAAGTGAAGTGGATTTTTTTCCATGACTGAGTTAGTGCCCACATCAACGCCCCGCAATATTTGGTTCAATTAATCAGCATATCACATGGAATGTTGATTAGACGCACCAACCTCACGTTAACCACCGGCGAGGTGTAGGCCCAGGGCTTCACAGACCTGCAACGGACGACACCCCAATGTACTCATTATGTGTCAGCGAACTCGCCAGTACGATGAGATCTCCCTTGTTGGCTTTGGTATCCAATCTAATGACTCGTCGCTCGAATCGCAGGAGCTGCCTCCAAGTGATTGCAGTCCATTGTCGTATGATCCTAGAAAACGCCCTTGGTGAGTGTAATTCAGAAGCAGCTGAGTCCTACAAGTGATTGAAATGTTCATAGATATTTCCTCGATTCCTTTGGGTCGTTTATGATTTCTAGAAATTTCATTTTCAAACAGACACGCATGCCACTTGATGTCAGTGTCCTGTGTCTCTTCTGTAACAAGGTATAAAGCCGTCACAGGCGTGAGCAAGGAGGTTATCGTCTTGCTGGATACAGGGGGGCCAATGGCAGATGCACTGTCCTTGCGTGCAGGGACTAAAGTACAAGTCTTCTCCGCAGCTCAACAGATTGTCACAGAATTTCTGGATACTCTGAACGCAGACGATGTTGTTACAGTTTACAGCTTTGACAACGGGGGGACAACTTTGGTCAATAAGAAGGTAACACTTTTCCTTCGAAATCTCTCTGGTGCATTTGTGGAAGTAAATTACTGGCCACATTATTTCATCCAACAGCGCAGCCTCGCTCTGTATTATCCTGTGAAGCAAGAGTCATGTCCCGGATCGAGAAGTAGAGGTCTGTGTGATCTGCTTCCGAGATTGGAATGCCTGCAGCTGCTGGAAGGTTTTTGATGACTGCGAAGATCTTCCATCTGATCGAGTGTTCCATCACACTGGAGAAGCTTATCTGATTCACTTGTAGTGTTTGCATCCAGGTCCAAATCTCAAACGATGACGCAACAACTAAAAACGTACTCGACCCCTTGAAGAAAGCCGTCAACGCGATCACGGTCACGTCGAATGGTGCACAAGCGAATCTGACGGCGGCACTGGAATCAACCGTCCTGCAAGGCGGATTTGACAACTCCACGTCTCGAGTAGCGAGCTTGAAGGTGTGGTCACGTCGCCCCCTCCAAAAGATCGTTCAACGTGATGCTCGAAACCGATAAGAAGGAGTCAAGCAGTCCTTCGTGGCCACACTCTGCCTCACCTCCACCGTTGCCTGTCTGCAGATCATCATCGTCATCACAGGAGGAGAGCTCGCAGACGGTCCGACCGTCGAAGTTCCGCTCTCGATCAGCCAAGGGGTCACCTCCCAACAGGTGCGGACCTTCATCTACCAGCTGAGCGACAGCACCCCGGGCACTCCGACTCCGGGGGTGGCGGATCTGAGCTCGCTCGCGTGCACTCTCGGCGGCTCCTACGACGAAGTCCCTCGTGACAACATTCTCGACGACCCTCTCTCGACGCTGAGATCCTTCTACAGCTACGTCGGAAGTCTCCGTTTCGCGTTGGATGGACAGAAACCGCTATGGGTCCCGTCGTACGCCGCGTATACCCGCGTCAAGGTGATGTCCGTCGTTTACCCAGGTAAGGCACTCGGAGATTCCGCCCCATACCCAACCCCAGCCGTACACCGGAATGGATGTAAAGCATTCCCGGCTGCCTCGGTCGACCTCCTCCTTGTGTATGCCAGCACGGTCTCCGTCTGTTCCGTCGATCTCACCCGAGCCCGGATGACCGTTTCTCTTCTCTCCGTTCTGCAGCGTTCGACGGCGACGTCCTGATCGGAGTAGCCGCCATAGATCTAATTACGGACGCAGTCGAAGCGGAGTGGCCCAACGCCATCGACAACTGGAGGAAACCCGCCGACAAGAAGCAAAGTCAGGGCTCGCCGGTCAACTGCACCGTAAGCCTGGTACGTGACCTCCCCATCGCTCTCTCTCGAGCCGTTGATGTCGATTTCATGCAGGGGCGGCCTTCGAGCCTAGGGACGTGACCGACTGAGCAAGGCAAAATCGCTAACGCGCCACGGGTGCCGTCGACTGTCTGTGGTGCAGGCACCAGATGCCGCAGTCTGCTCTGCCGGCAACTCCGCGGACCGGGGACTCTGCGCCGGCTACATCGCGCCGAGCACGGACCTAGAGTACACAGCCCGCACATGTTGCGAGGGCTCGTGCTCCGCGAATCTGCTGTCGTCGGATGCCGGGAATAAGACATCGCAGTCTTTCTTCGACAAAGGCGGGAACATTGCCCTCGTCGCGGTTGCCGGCAGCGTCGTTTTTCTCTTCTTGATCTTGCTGTGCTTCTGTGGACGGAAGATGTACGCGGCGTGCCACAGTTGTGTCATGACTGTCTCCAAGTCGAACAAGGGACCCACGCGCCCTCCTGGCGACAGGACGGATCGGAATGGGGATGACGAGGTATGGGGAATTGCCCTGGGGAGTCCCAGGCTGGGACCCCAGATGAGGAGCCCAGTCGGGGGTCCCTCCTCCACCGCCACTAGCACGACGCAGTCACCAAAACATCCGACGCAGTTTGTCAGCTCTCCGGACCCATCGTCGGTGGGCTCTCCTCAAGTTGCGACGACGGGGTCGAGACTCACGAAAACTTCCGTGCAAGGAGGAGGGAAGGACTCTGGCTCCAATATTCACGGACCCTGGACAGAAATGCTGTAGATGTAGAGGCACGCAAGCGACAGAAAGTTTTGCATTGGATCTTGTACTGGCTGTGACACCGATCGTCGCCTTTTGGCATCGCTTTTCTTTGCGAGAGTTATCTGGACGTGTAGGGTATTTCCACTCCGTCCGAAATGCCATCTTCAGCTTGTACATATGTGGAACGAACTCAACCTTTTTGAGGTCGTGCGAGAGCAATTTGATGGCTCGTGAGAAGTATCGCTTTGATGCTGTTTACCATTTGTACCATGCAAATAAAAAATAGGAGCCTGAAGGTCAAGTACTTCAGAGATACTTCCGTTTCGCCGGCTGTCTCTAAGTCAAGAGGAAGCATAATAAGTCTCTATATGATACCTCCTCTCCGTATGACGGCTCTCAAACGTCGTTCATATAGTGCGGAGCAGTCTAGTCTTGATTTGCCAGATATATTTCTCGATGCATGCTATTCATGGTTCGTGCCCACCTTGCAGTCTGGACGATACTTCAATCGTTCCGATATGTGTAAGGTTGACTAGTAGTACATCGTTTTGAGCTTGTCACTTGAACCTACTAATCACGATGCCACTGTCCTGGAACACCTTCTAGACTTTTGCCTTGGGATATATTGAGTACATCATCTTGAGCTACTAGAACGAAACCACTCCAAAGAGCCAGAACTGACTTTCTGCTCACCTTCTTGTCTGGTTTCTTTGACCGTGTAGATCAATACAATTGCTGACCGAATTAGTCTTATGGCCTGAGAGCGCTTTACTGAATGCAACTCATTCCTGTCCAGATGACATGATAATTTTCGTGCGTCGTTGGGCTGGTCCGAATTGCCTCCTCCGTGCTGCGCACGTAAGATGGGAATGTCTGTCATCGGATAGCGCCGACGCCGAGGACACACTTTATAAGAGATGCTCTGGAAAACCAGAAGCCGGGAGTCCCTTGGAGGGAGTTGCTCGGCATTGGGACGTGTTTCGAATGGGGGGCCTCCAAACCTGGTGAGATGATGGATGGATGATCGATGGATTCCTACATCGTCTATTTTCTAGCGCAGCTGGACCAGAGCTCGGATCTTGTACGTGAAAGTTGATCGCAATGCCTTTATAGTCAACGTGTGATACGCAGCAGCTGCGAGAATGCATCGAGCAGGCTAGTTTGAGAATCTCCTCGAGACATTCGGGTCAAAAGGGGCTCAGTCATAGGATTGCGATTGACTGAGTCAGTCCGTGGCATTTCGATCCTGCTCGTGCGGACTCCCCTGCACCGCCACCTGCGTTCGGCTCGCAATTTTCTGGCCCGGTTCTCGTGACGTCCGTGAACGAACCCGTCAGGATCTCTCAAAGCCGTCCTGACACGCGAAGAATCAGTTTTTTGCTTCTCCCCGACGGTTTGAGTACAGCTGAGCTGCCACTCTGAGCCTCCGCGGCGTCACAGAGACATCCGCTGCAAGAGGTCGAGCAGAAGGTAACAGCTGTACCCTTCTTTAACTTCATCTGCAGGCTCTGATTCCAGATCACACCGCTGCTCCTGTCTTCTAAACCAGCATCGGGTTGCGACAATGACTTCCTAGCCTCACTTTCCTGACTCAAATGAAAAAAATTGGGTTCTTTTGCTAACTGGAATGATCTATTCTCCTGATAACAGCCACGGTGGAGTTTTGCAAATTAAGGTCAATTGGCATATCTGGTATCTAGATGGACGACATAAGTAGTCTCCTGCATCAGGTATCACACGAGTCATGGAGCACTATTATCTTCTGATTTAGCTGATGGGACTCGTAGGACCAAGCCTGATGATTAAACCATGAACAACATGCTCACTATCAACTAGATGGCAACAACAGTAGGACAAGAAATTTACATCACTAACATGGAAGCGATTGATGAGGCCCGGCAGAAGAAACTGTGATCAGGTGTGATTGTGCATGTGACATTGTGTGCACAGTTCAATACAGAGACCGAAACATCTCAGCGCTTCGAAAAATCTGCTCGGCGAGAGCGCTTCGATTGCCGTAGGCTTGCTTTTCTGCCCAACCGCATCATGAAATATACAATTAACAGAATAAATCATCACTTTCATTGCGGTAGGTACACCAGATATAAAGTCGAGAATGTTTTACTCACGGAGCGATTCAAACCCATCCGAACCGATCGGCAGAGTGAAGAGCTTATTTTGGGAACTGGGGGTGGAGTTTCTGCTGATCGAGCTCGATAATCTTGTCGAAGAGCGCGAAGTTCAAGAAGCGCTGCGTAGGTTAACTCGACAGTGCACAGTTCCGAACATCTTCATCGGTGGCAAGCACATTGGCGGATGCGACGATACGATGGATCTGCACATGAGAGGGCAGCTAATGCCCTTGCTAACAGCTGACAACTGACAGGAAGACTGTAAGCGCACGATGCAGAGAGCTCATCACAATGACATACTTGCGCTTTTGCCGAGGAGATTTGATGCGAGCCCTGCGTCTCCCGAACGTCAAATAGGTTTCGAAATCCGCAGGTCCCAGATGATTTGTATCAGTCGGGACAGGAGACAGAACGGGTTCTCGAAGACGAGGCAGATGGTGGGGTGCAACAATTCTGCGGAGAGGGTTAATATAGAGAGAAGTACATACAGACAATGAATGACCGAAAGACACAGAGAACGGCGAGAATTACCTTCGCAGTCCCTTACGCAAAAGGCAGGTAGATTCATCGACGAAGAGGAGTGACAAAATCTGACAAACGCGAAGTAAAAAGAACCCTAGCCCGTCAATCACAGGAACTCCAGCGAGAGAATGAAGTGCAGGAACCAGCGAAAACTGTTCTATATATACAGACTTGGAGGCAGAAATCCGTTGCAGCTAGTAATCGCGTCATGTCCTCATTGGCTCCTGAGTTCTTGGTTCATTTAGGCGCCTACATATGCGGTCGCCTATTTCAACCATGCCTGCGTATGGCTGTCCGCTGGCTGTGCAGATAGTCAACGGAGGGCAAGTCCACCGGCACGATCCGTTCGGAATATAGATCGCGTGCGAGCTCGCGGGCAGGATCTGAGATACCACACGAGGTCGCGACAGTGCACAGATATCCGCTGCACCAGCAGCAAGTTTGGCCAACAGCGGCTGAGCCGGGAGCTGCAATCCACAATACGCGAAATGCGTTTTACAAGACACAACATCGCGGGACGACATAGCCGCTAGAAAGCTTCACTGACAACTTGATCGGCGATGGCGCTCCTCGAGGCTTTTAAAAATGTTCATATTGCAGCGCGTGGCCAGCTTTTAGTATAGTCTCTCGTGCGCTGGATTACCGTGACTCTAGATCTCGCCAAGAGGCCGCGAGTCCGGCACTGCAGCTGCTTGTTGACTCTCTAGCCTCGCGGGGGAAGTTATTGAAGGATGGTATCGGTCTCTCACCCGAGGTAATTGTGGAGCATCTCCGGGAGCAAAAGCTAGCGCTTCGTTCGGTGCAGTGGATCGCCGGACGAAGCTTCGAGTGAAGTGCGGAGTGGGAGACCTCTCCGCTGTGAGATAAGAGGGTCCGGGGACTGTGGCGGAGCAAAGTTGCAGCAGAGGATGCGCGAGCGAAAGTCGGGCTTCTTCGGGGGGATTCGCAAGTGGAGATGATAAGGCGAAGCGTAGCTGGCAGTTTGGAGTGCGTGTTTCCATGTACACTCAAAGATTGGCGTGTGCGTCGGGAGTATGGGTGTGCATGTATAATTGTGGTATTATACACGTTATATTATATTGCTATATTATGATGAGTCATCATATTCACCAAACCTTAGTCAGGAGAACAGTTGAAAGATATCTTGACAGTTACATGATTGTTAGTTCAATGAAGGTGATCTGCACATTGTATTTTGGCAGATTTCCAACACAAGGTTAAGTGGACGAGTCTTAAAGTCAAATTTTCTGCTTCTTTACTGATAACTTGCAATTTTTTTGCTAAAATTGGATATAAACTTCCCGATCATGCTACATTTTCTCAAGGTCAGAAAACAAGCGAGAACTAGTACAATTTTGTCTAGAAGACATGAATATAAAATATAAACAGATGCACCACTGTAAATATCGAATAATATACTTGTATGAACAGAAGGACTTCCAAGATAGTTCTCTTCACATTTTCTACTTTCAGTGAATATTCTACGGAAAACAAACCTCTGAGATAGGTGGCAAATGTCCCTGTTAAACAGTTACTCTTAAAAGTACTGGGCTGCTAAGCTGCTTTGAATGATTGCAAAGGCTTAGCAGAGAGCCCCGGGCATCTTAAGTAGAATTATTAGTTAGAGGTTTAATTATGTTCTGCCTTCGTTCAGAACACAAATCTCATGCAGAACTTTGATCGTAAGATTTCCTGTGCAGCTGCTTACCTCTTTGAAACTCACACCGGGTGTCACATGCACAGCTGCAAGCTCCAAACAACCCACCCTGCACCCACAGAGGAGCTCTGTAAGCACAAATTTGACTTCTCCTCTGTAATTTCAACCCAGAAGAATCTCTCAGTTGGAGTTGCAAATCTTCGAACCAGGATCGCCCTCCATGCGTGAAACGGAAAATAATCAGTCCCCACTACTGTCTCTGAAAGTGGCAAATTTTCCTGTAAAAGCTCGCGAGCCACGCCCCCTCCACCTTTTGCGAGCTCCAAAAATTCCAGACAAGACTCCTCCAATCGAATAACTACTCATCGATCAAATAAAATTCTCGTCCAGCGCATCGTCTCTGCCCCGCCTGTGCCCTGTCCTGCCTGCCCTGGATTCTTCCTCCTCATCCAGGTCTTGCGGAAGGAGTGATAACTACCTCAACCTGCCCGCCAGTGAGCGTCTAAACTAGTCGCCGCTGTAACACTAGCGCACAACTTGAGCCATAACCTAAGCTAATATTCGCAGACGAGCCTAATCGAAGCTGGAACATTGCGAGATGTTGGTATTATACAACACTTCTAAACCATACCTTGTATAATAAAAAATTTGTAACAATCGGATTACCAGAACTGTGAGATCTCATAGTATTAATATATTAAAGACTCGAATCTCCAATATTATATTTATGTGGGGTTGTGTAACTGACTTATTCGGAATTCCAAGAAATATTTTAATATAAAAAATTAATTTCAAGACCGAAGTCTCAGTGCGAGAAGTGTAAGGATGAAATGCTGGTCATGACACTTGTTTGCAATATTGAGACTGCGAACAAATGAAATTTGACGTTTTTTATTCTACACCCCAAGAATAATATCTCGATTTCAGAAGTTAAAGAGAAAGAGTCTCCATAGGCCAAATAGAAGGTTTTGCTAGCAAGCCCCGGGGAGGCGTGCTAGCAAGAGCGACACATTTCGAGATCACGAAATGTGTCGACCGCTAGCCTTGATCCTAATCCTTCTCGCGGTTCTCCTGAAGGACCATGCCTCCTCCGTGCATGGGCAGCAGGCGCCGCCTGCTGTGCCCCTCGCGGCCCAGAATTTCTTCAATGAAGCTGAGAGTTCGGTGGAGTCTCTGGCCGCCAATGCTATTCTTAACTACAAGAACAGAGAAGGTACCGTTCAAGCGCACATCCAGTCAACAGAATTTCCATGTAGCATAATAACATTCAGACAGAGAGAGAGCGAGAGACTGATAGAGCGAGATTCATTTGCGGAAAAATGAACCGTGCTCGATGCAGGCGAGGAGATATGGGTCAGAAAAGAGATCTGCGTTTGGATCCACGCCCAAGTACGGACTCGCTGTACAGGCGATATCTTGTGCTCCGATCTCGAGTATTCATAGTCAGCCAACCTCTAATCTCTGTAGATGTGAATCAGTTGAGAAGGTCTGGAAGAGCTGCCCCCAGGGTGATGATCAGACGGGAAAACCTATGTTTTGATATTATGATAGAGACTGAAAGGACTAGAATTTCCTGAAAGCTGCAGTTATGCTCATGGTGAGCGCATCGTGCCCTACGTGAACATTCGTGTGTGTGTGCTTTAGTGTAAACGTGTAGTTCACTTCTCTCACGATCGGTCCGCCTTGTGGTTAGTGCTTCGAATATTCACTAATCCGTGCGAAACTGATTCTGTTGCCCATTGTCTTGCGCAGCATTGTTTACCACATGCAACTCGAATTCGAGATGTTCTGCTTACGCCTGTCAGCCCGTGGACCTCTCTTCAAGTGGCTGGCAATGTTTGGCCTCGCCCGGGAACATAGGCTGTGGAGGATCCGGAACTAGTTCAAGCTGTAAGAACGCCACTGTGTGGTCGAGTAGTTATATACGGTAAGACTCGGAACTTACAGAAACGAAATCTTTGTTTAGAAACACTGTAAATGCAATACGAGCGAAGTCTCCTGAGGCAGAGACTTCGCTCTTTCGCCACACCTGCGCTCCATAGCTGTTAGTCATGGATGGTCCGCCAAGAGTAGGGACGAGACTTCAGTTCACCAATCGATGTATTGTGCTAACAAGTAGTTTAGGTTCTGGACCTTTTTGCTTCAGCACTTCCTCCTTAGTATGTCCCAAATCTCCAAACAACTGGATCAAAATCGCGATAACCGGGACGAATACCCAGTAACACATCTTAACACATGTCGTTAAGCGTCCGGCACATTTAAAACGTAGTTATCAAGAAATCTGTCCAATGTGTCTACGCAGCACACTGACCGGAAGAGCAGTCTGTAGCTGCCGAACTCTTTGCCGAGAACCCGACGGAATCCGAGCAATTATCCTATTTGAAACAGAAGAGTGGATAGTGCTGGAGGTGGTCTTATGAATGCCCAGATTCGACCTCGGTGAAGACCCGCAGCCAGGAAGGAATAACGACGTTTGCGTTGTTATCTTATGACGAATCTGCATGCAGTAGATCTTTGACTGAAGTGAATTTGTGTCTGGCTTCGATGCAGGCTGCCTCCGAAGGCCAAACAGTCTGACTTAACGTGTGACGCTCAGTTGTCGATTTGTTCTCAAAAGGATCTCGACTCGCAGTCCTTTGAGAAAATATTCTCGAACGATGGTGGTCCATTCAACAAAATCGCGTGGTCGTATTTCGGGTTCTCTAACGGAGTCTTTCGTATCTACCCAGGATTGGTACGTCACTCGGGACAGCACTGGCACGACTGAGAGCTTGAAAGTGTGGAAAATTTCGATTGAAGTGAAGTGGATTTTTTTCCATGACTGAGTTAGTGCCCATATCAACGCCCCGCAATATTTGGTTCAATTAATCAGCATATCATATGGAATCTTGATTAGACGCACCAACCTCACGTTAACCACCGGCGAGGTGTAGGACCAGGGCTTCACAGACCTGAAACGGACGACACCCCAATGTACTTATTATGTGTCAGCGAACTCGCCAGTACGATGAGATCTCCCTTGTTGACTTTGGTATCCAATCTAACGACTCGTCGCTCGAATCGCAGGAGCTGCCTCCAAGTGATTGCAATCCAAGATGGTATGATCCCAGAAAACGCCCGTGGTGAGTGTAATTCAGAAGCAGCTGAGTCCTACAAGTCATTGAAATTTTCATAGATATTTCTTCGATTACTTCGGGTCGATTACCATTTCCAGAAATTTCATTTTCAAACAGACACGCATGCCACTTGATGTCAGTGTCCCGTGTCTCTTTTGTAACAAGGTATAAAGCCGTCACAGACGTGAGCAAGGAGGTTATCGTCTTGCTGGATACAGGGGGGCCAATGGCAGATGCACTGTCCTTGCGTGCAGGCTCTAAAGTCCAAGTCTTTTCCGCAGCTCAACAGATTGTCACAGAATTTCTGGATACTCTGAACGCAGACGATGTTGTCACAGTTTACAGCTTTGACAACGTGGGGACAACTTTGGTCAATAAGAAGGTAACACTTTTGCTTTGAATTCTCTCTGGTGCATTTGTGGAAGTAAATTACTGGCCACATTATTTCACCCAACAGCGCAGCCTCGCTCTGTAGTATCCTGTGAAGCAAGAGTCATGTCCCGTATCTAGAAGTGGAGGTCTGTGTGATCTGCTTCCGAGATTGGAATGCCAGCAGCTGCTAGAAGGGTTTTTATGACTGCGAAGATCTTCCATCTGATCGAGTGTTCCATCACACTGGAGAAGCTTACCTGATTCACTTGTAGTGTTTGCATCCAGGTCCAAATCTCAAACGATGATGCAACATCTAAAATCGTACTCGACCCCTTGAAGAAAGCCGTCAACGCGATCACGGTCACGTCGAATGGTGCACAAGCGAATCTGACGGCGGCACTGGATTCAACCGTCCTGCAAGGCGGATTTGACGACTCCACGTCTCGAGTAGCGAGCTTGAAGGTGTGGTCACGTCGCCCCCTCCAAAAGATCGTCCAACGTGATGCTCGAAACCGATAAGAACGAGTCAAGCAGTCCTTCGTGGCCACACTCTGCCTCACCTCCGCCGTTGGCTTGTCTGCAGATCATCATCGTTATCACAGGAGGAGAGCTCGCAGACGGTCCGACCGTCGAAGTTCCGCCCTCGATCAGCCAAGGGGTGGACTCCCAACAGGTGCGGACCTTCATCTACCAGCTGAGCGACAGCACCCCGGGCACTCCGACTCCGGGGGTGGCGGATCTGAGCTCGCTCGCGTGCACTCTCGGCGGCTCCTACGACGAAGTCCCTCGTGACAACATTCTCGACGACCCTCTCTCGACGCTGAGATCCTTCTACAGCTACGTCGCAAGTCTCCGTTTCGCGTTGGATGGACAGAAACCGCTATGGGTCCCGTCGTACGCCGACGCGTACGCCATCGGCAACGTGATTACCGTCGCTTACCCAGGTAAGTCAGTCTCAGAGATTCCGCCCCATCCCCAAACCCATCCGTCCACCGGAAGAGATGTAAAGCTTTCCCGGCAGCCTCGGTCGACCTCCTCCTTGTGTATGCCAGCACGGTCTCCGTCTGTTCCGTCGATCTCACCCGAGCCCGGATGACCGTTTCTCTTCTCACCGTTCTGCAGCGTTCGACGGCGACGTCCTGATCGGAGTAGCCGCCATAGATGTGCTGACGGACGCTGTCGAAGCGGAGTGGCCCAACGCCATCGACAACTGGAGGAAACCCGCCGACAAGAAGCAAAGTCAGGGCTCGCCGGTCAACTGCACCGTAAACCTGGTACGTGACCTCCCGATCGCTCTCTCTCGAGCCGTTGATCTCGATTTCATGCAGGGGCTGCCTTCGAGCCTAGGGACGTGACCGACTGAGCAAGGCAAAACCGCTAACGCGCCACGGGTGCCGTCGACTGTCTGTGGTGCAGGCACCAGACGCCGCAGTCTGTTCGGCCGGCAACTCCGCGGACCGGGGACTCTGCGCCGGCGACGTCGGGCCGAGAACGGACCTAGAGTACAATGCCCGCACATGCTGCGAGGGCTCGTGCTCCGCGAATCTGCTGTCGTCGGATGCCGGGAATAAGACATCGCAGTCGTTCTTCGACAAAGGCGGGAACATTGCCCTCGTCGCGGTTCCCGGCAGCGTCGTCCTTGTCGTCTTGATCTTGCTGTGCTTCTGTGGACGGAAGATGTACGCGGCGTGCCACAGTTGTGTCGTCATGTGGCTCACCCCCCCACCCGTGGTGAGCCCCACCACGGTTATGTGGGGTTCGGACTGGGGTAAGGAGGTTGTGGGAATGCGGCTATCGTTCCCGGATAACAGCAGAGTCGGGGGTACCCCCTCCACCGCCACCAGCACGACCAGCACGACGCAGTTGGTCAGCTCTCCGGACCCATCGACGGTGGGCTCTCCCCAAGTTGCGACGACGGGGTCGAGACGCACGAAATCTTCCCTGCAAGGAGAAGGGAAGGACTCTGCCTCCAATAATCGCGATCCCTGGACAGATTCGCTGTAGATGTATAGGCACGCAAGCGACAGAAAGTTTTGCATTGAATCTTGTATTGTCTGTGACACCGATCGTCGTCTTTTGGCATCGCTTTTCTTTCCGAGAGTTATCTGGACGTGTAGGGTATTTCCATCGATCACTCCCTCCGAAATGCCATCTCCAGCTTGTACATATGTGGAACGAACTCAACTTTTTTGAGGTCATGCGGGAGCAATTTGATGGCTCGTGAGAAGTATCGCTTGGATGCTGTTTACCATTTGTACCATGCAAATAAAAAAAAAGAGCCTGAAGGTCAAGTACTTCAGAGATACTTCCGTCTTGCTGGCTGTCTCTAAGGCAAGAGGAAGGATTATAAGTCTCTATATGATGTTTATGGCCATAATGGTTGAGTCGGTTCATTAACTACTATCAGACACCTTGTGTGCATCTTTCTAACCATGTACAATGTAAGACCGCAGGGAAAGATAAATGATCATAGTCTACAACGCACACTTCTCCCGAGAATGATACAACTGACGCCGGAAAATTGTATCGTGCATAAAAGATAATCTTTTTCACGTCCAAAAAAGACATCATGTTAAAGAAACTTTACATGCACTTGTGTAATATGAAAGTCGCCTTGGTCGCCTTCTCCAACCTCGGGCCGAGGTTGGATATATTGAGCATGACTGAAAAGCTATGACATATAGCACTGTACACATGTTAAATTCATAGCATCAGTCAAATGTCGGAAGATCGTTCATAAACAAAATCACGCAGTGTAAACTTATCAAAGTAGTGTGCCAATATATACTTAGTACGCAGTAACACCTACAAAATCTTGATGAATATCCTGACTAGTTAGTGGACATTAAATTCTGGAAGTTGATGGCTTGAAACTTAAGTTAAAATGGAGCTTGTTGTACTTAGTACCGAGAAAATTCAAGGGAGATAATCTATTTTAACTTTGTTCCGTTCTGACTGATATTATTAGGAGATTATGATATTTATTGATGTGACAACAAAAACTTATAAGAGTAAAATTATTGCTTAAATTTATAAAATATGAACAATCCCTTGAGAGCATATCTTGAATTTGTTGAAATTGAACCCTATTGAATATAATTGTAATCTAGAAATTAAGAAGCTTTGGCTGATGTTAATTATATGTTTCTTTGCAATCAAGCTAATCTAGATAACATGAAATTTAAACTATACATGTATCCACACAACATGATATTGTATGATATTCAAATTCATTAAATATTCGATTAGCCCACAATACCTTCATTCAGTTTATTTTATAAGTGTATTTTTGAAAATCAACCACATTTATTTTGAGTTTTTGTATATAATTTGAAATGAAAATATTAATTTCTCAATTTCTTTATAAATTCTAGTGAATAATAATATAATTACGAAACTGATCTTGCAAAATTCAACGATTGATCATTATAAAAATCTATTTAATTATTTTTAAATTGATTTATAAATTTATTGGCATGAATGTTTATGTTTTATGAGATGAATTTCAGATTTTGTTATACTACATCAAAGTATTTATTAGACTTTTGTTTGATCAAGTATGTTTAGGTTTTGAAAAAAATTTGTATCCCATTGATGACATGGAGTACATATAATAAAGACTGTTTTTTTGGAACATAGATTACATTAAAAGAAAATAAACCATTATTTGATTAAATTTTTTTATTAATAAGATGGAATTGATGTAACAATATTTAGAATTTTGGGCCTTAAGATGTGATTATGCTATTAAATAAAAATATATAATTATTTATTTGATGATTTTTAGATTTCATTTAAATGTTGATACAGTTGAATGAATCTTGAATATAAATAAATTTTTGAATTTCCATTTATAGTTAAATATATAATTTTGTATAGTTTAAATTGAATATTTCGTTGAGCCCTTAAATAAATGTTAACATACAATATTTTCTGTCAATTAGTCGATTCGATATTTTTAAATTTACTTTTGACCTAAATTAATTATCTTGAAATTATAATATAGATGAAAACTGATTGCTATTATATATTACTGATGTAACATATGATGAAATAGAATTTTTTTTCTTTTTCATGATAGTAGTTTTTCGATAAATTTCTATCGATTCAAGAAATAAAAAATACAGATCGGCAAGCTAATGTGTTAAAGCACGCTGTTAAAGCACTCGGTTGATCCAAATCACGCGACTGCTTTCACTCATTGCTGTAGAGTTACCATTCGCATCCCATCCAGGCGGTATCGGCCAGACCAGTACGCTCAGTTTCATCTCTGTTCTAAGATGAGGTCATTTTACAACATGCCTTCTGGGCGACCATTCTATCTATCCGTACTGATATCTCTGAAGCCAACAAGCTCAGCCGGCGCAGCGAAAGCAAGCTCATCCATCGCACTACCAGACAATGGTAGATCACGCAGGAGTCAATCCGCAATATGTCATTTGTGTGTACTTAAGACGAAAACGACACACATGCGAGAACGTGTGCATATCAGTGACTATAGAATAGAGACTCTCATATTGACATGCAATTGAGATGTATACTTGTATTTGAGATATCCATGGGCGTAGCCACATGCACGAGGTTTTATCCTCCGGCAAGTATTTTACTCTAAGAAGGTGAGAATGATGAGATACAATACCTCAAACATCTATCAGCATGCATCATAGATTCTTCGAAAACATCGCGAAAGAATTCTGACAAAGCAAAGATAAAAGAAAACAGCGTCTCAGTGGATACAATATTGAAATGAGCTCAATGGATGCAGTGCCCGCACTTGCTGATGTTAGCGTCATGTTCTCATTTCCATCACCTTCGATTCGAATCGACCTTCCGCGTCAGCCGAGTTTCGTTTCGGCATGAAAGCGGAATGAACTATTATCGATTCCGCTACAAGATGTCTCTCATCATCTACCAAACGTTAGGGTTTCTGTTATCGCCGTGAGTGAATGCGCTCCCCACCTCGTCAACACTGAGTCCGCCGATTAGTCCAGGATCGAATTCGGATTTCCGCTGAGTTGTCTCGACTTCGACATGATTCAAAGACTTTGCACATAGCAACTTAATCTCTTTCGAAGCTTTAGCAGCTGAAATCATCAAGTTCCTTAGAAAGCCCAGAACAATCGTCCGAATTTCTCTTTCGTCGAGAAATACACTAAAACATCAAACTAAGCTAGTTTTGGCTGAAAATCTGTTGGTATCCACAATCAAAGCTGTTGTTGAATGTGTGCGCGGCAGTGCGAGCAGAAAATTCTCATGAAATCATCTCTATGAATGTCGCTCTTTGAAGGTCGAGTAACTTCAAATTATTCAAAAAAATAATTCTTCAAAGGTTTTTGGATTCACTTGCTTCTCTGTACGAGACCGAACGTATCACAGAGACAATGAAACTTCAGTATGATCAATGTCAAAGTAATCTGCCATCAAGTCATTTCTCTTGACATAACAACTGGCAGACATGAAACCAGTTCTTGCACCGTTTCAACGGACTTCTCTTGCTAAAATTTAGTTCTAGGTTGGTGTTCAACTAATCGAAAAAGATCAGAAATTTTATCAACCTATCGGTTGTGAGCTGCTGTAACTGTACCTCTCATTAGTGTCAATACAGAGGGAAATTTAGAGAATTTGAGCGCTCATTAGCACGTTCACACGTTGACAATCTTACGCAGCATGGCCTTCACAAATTACTGCAGGCAGAGAGGACAGGAAAAAGTGATTCCTGAACTGAAGATGATTCCAAAGGGTGAGTCACGAATGTGCACATGAATTAGTGCACATCCGTGAGTCGTACTCTCGACAATTCACCTGTATGCTGCAAGAACGCAATGAACTCAATTCCTGTTCTGAGTTTCCACGTGAATGTATCTTACTCCAAGCGCGAACCCAGTGGCAAGTTTCAAGTTTCAGTGGCCGATGACCTCAGATAAGAAATAGGTTGATTGTTTCGGTACAAGCGTGGGTGGGAGAGTCGAATGCATGAAGTCAACGCCGAGTAAAGTCACTCATCCAGTGGAAACACACACACACACACATATGTGCAGCGGGTTTCCCAGTAAAATATCCATTGACAAATGCAGCTGGTGACAAAAAGCTTTTGTGGTATATTATCAAAAGGGGAGAAATTTCTTGCTGTACTAAGCAAGCGAACTTGCACAGGAGAGAATACAAAGCCGAAGTAAAGTTTAGAACAACTTTGCTCAGTCACACTCACCTCTTGAGACTCTTAGCGCAGTGTTATCAACAGAGGTATAAATCCGAGCTCCGAGAAACATTTTATCACGCATCAGTTCCTCACAGCAATGTCAGCTATAGAGTGTGGATACTTTGGACTAGTCATTTTCGCTCTAGCAGATGCACATCCCACTCATTTCCTTAGTCATGGATGTTTCAAGCGTAAAACTGTCCCAAATCTCTGGCCGTTGCCTACGTATTGGGACCTTTCCTTCTGATTACAGGCAAGACTTGGCTGAAATCGACTGCGAGGTCTATGGAAATCCTGAAAATCGCTCGAAGACTTGCATAGCTCACCTTGCATATCATTCTGCTAACATTTTTTTTGTACACATGAGATATAATCTGTGATTAAGGTTCATTCATACAGGGCTTCTGAAGCAAGATTGGGAGCGTCTGCAACAGGAATGCTCTGCATGTAGGTTCAGGAAATTTCTTCTCCTTATTGAGATTTTACATATACAGCTGTTATCTGGATGCCAGTTATGATAGACACGTTCTGGACGCGTTTCAAAATTGGTTGAGCTCTAGATTAAAGATGTCTTAAGAAATTCTTTTATACGATAGAGCGGTGCGAAGGATCCACAACGGTGAAAATGGTCGTCTTCCTTTTTGAGTCCGAATGGAGATAGTGACAAGAATGTTGGGGGCATCTGCAGAGCCAGTCGTGATTCATACCAGGAGCTACACAGTTCTGGTATTGGACCACGCTACTGCCGTTCTGGCTCACTTATTTTCCTGGGACCAGATCGACCCCTGGTTTTCATAGCTGACGGCCATATCCTTCTGCATATTTCTCAATTCATAACCTTGAACAGTGGATCTACCTAGCTCGCTTGCATACTGATGCATGAAGGCCTCCGATTGTTTTTTTCATTTGAATACTTTATGTCGGATTATTTTCTGCTGTTGTTTCTAGATTAGGAATTAGAAGCTCTTGACTTCCGATCACGAAAAAGTGCATACTTCTGCCAACTTTTCCTTTGTCGCACCAAATTTACTGTATTTTTCTTGATATATGAAATCTGACATCTCTATGTTCGAAAATGATTTTGTTGGCTGTAGAAACTGTGGACTCTGATAATCATCACTGCACTTGGAGCCAGAGTCTTGTTCCGGGCACCTGTAGAACTTCACAAATCTTCTGCAGAACCACGTCTTAAGGTTGACTGAGCAGATGAAGCGTTTCTTCTGGATCATACAATTTCATTGCTCCTCCCGGATCCACGTTTGAAATCGCAAGAATTTGAGTACAGTTCATTCCAGAAATTCCATCGAAATTGGGTAAAATATATACATCCTAAGAATTTCAACTGCAATCGTTGAAGTAAATTAATAATGAGCTGCCTTCTTTTGCAATAATATCTCTTTCTTTCTGATGGATAAATCTAACTCACGTCAGCGCGTTGGCTCCGCTGATCTAACATGATGTGGATTATGCTGGCGACTATTTTATTTTGTGTATGTACCAGGATTGGGATGCTGAGATACGAATTAAAGTTGGCTCAGGCTTCGTAGAGGTCGAGTCTCCTCTTTTTACAAGGGCCTCAGATAGTGGCCCCAAAACAAGAATGGCTACCTTAAGCAAATCGAACCTTATGCTTCGTTAGACTTGGCACAGGCAGAGATTTATGTCGGCCCCCATTCAAAATCCCGATCCGGCCTGAGCCCTTCCCTCCGGTCATGCAACTCTACTGCTACGATTCAGCTTTTCTTTGTCGATGTACCCTTTCAAGCCAAAAAAGCCATGAATGTAATGGATGCCAGCCAGCCTTTAGCCTACGCACATAGGGCTTACGTGTCTAATTTATTGCATACGAGTCCTCAGGTTACATCTGGATCTTGGTTCAAGTTGCAGCAAAACATTTGCATCATGGGTTTCACATGGCTTCGTGCAAATCGTCGAATGTCATGCTAGGGTGATCCGGCTCGAGAACATATATGACATTAGAGATATTTACAGATAATTGATCCTATCTCCAGACAAACCTCTCATCATCATAGTAGGTCACTGACTCCTTGTTCAAATACACGTTGTAATGAAATACGATGGGTAAGATAGGACAGCAATTTCCGGTTATATGAACTGTATTATTGTTGCTTCTATCCGCTTAAGTGATTGATGACATTTCATATCGACTTGTCACCTATAAGAGTTCTCTTCATTCTCTTTGGGAATTTCTCGGTCTAGACTTAGTATTTGCAAGTCTCATACAAATGAGACTAGCAATTACTAGGATTGTCATCTACATTAGTGGTGGACTCTGGTTATTTTAAATGATGTAGACATTGAAGTCACGTGGTAGCTAACTCTCACACAATACGTGGGACTTCTAGAAATTGAGCATGTCTAAACAGGCGTGCATGATGAAGATAGGGAAGACAAGATGACGGCATTGACGTATGACGGCTCTCAAACGTCGTGCATATAGTGCGGAGCAGTCTAGTCTTGATTTGCCAGATATATTTCTCGATGCATGCTATTCATGGTTCGTGCCCACCTTGCAATCTGGAGGATACTTCAATCGTTCAGATATGTGTAAGGTTGACTAGTAGTACATCGTTTTGAGCTTGTCACTTGAACCTACTAATCACGATGCCACTGTCCTGGAACACCTTCTAGACTTTTGCCTTGGGATATATTGAGTACATCATCTTGAGCTACTAGAACGAAACCACTCCAAAGAGCCAGAACTGACTTACTGCTCACCATCTTGTCTGGTTCTTTTCACCGTGTAGATCAATGCAATTGCTGACTGAATTAGTCTTATGGAACGCTCTTTTAACCCCTGAAGTGTTCTAGATACAGAACTAACTTTGCTTGCCTGATCCACTTGACCCCCAATTGATTCGTGGAAGACATTTCCTTTCTGGTTTTCGACACGTATTCACGATCTTGATAATTAACTATTGTTGTAGATTTAGTTTCATGCTGAGTCCTACTTCTTCAAAGTACTCCACATTTACTTTCGTAAGGACTCTCCTCGGACGAAAGAGAAGATGGAAAAAAGACATATCAGGTTGAATAAACATTTACATAAAGCTTCAAGGAGAAACAAATAACTGGCAGTGAGAAGAGTACAGCTCTCCTTACCACGTCTTTCCTTCTTCTTTACATCTCCGGTTCAAAGTTTATCGACCAAATTCAATACTAATTCATAAAATCCTTTCAAACATTAAGATATAAGTGATCTAAAACCCGGTAAAAATTGGCGCAATATGGTCCATGAAATGCAAGGGATCTCAGCTACTATAGTAAGTCATAAGATATTCCATTTCAATAATTTCTGATCAACTGAGTGGAGAATAAAATCATGAAAATCATGCCAAATTTATTGTAGTTCAAAATACTTCGAGCTAAAACTAACATATTCATCAGAAAAGCTGTAATAAATTTCAGCTTGGGCTGTAATAAGAATTCAAACTTTTGGTGACTTAAATTGTTCCAAGTATTTGACCGCATGCTAGAAGCGGTCGTCTCAGAAAGTATGCGTGGTCTTAGGAGATATCTCGTCAAAATAGGTCAAAATATCATGAACAATAGCAGATAATGTATTGACAACTCGCCTGGGACATATATATTCACTTTTATTAGGAGTTGATTTTATTTTTCTATCATAATTTTCTATCTTCATCGTTGATACTTCATATATAAAATCATTGTTTTCCGTAAATTTTATGTAGAATTTATTAATGCTATTATTCAAAAAAGTTGGAGCCAAAGTTTAAAAAATACGTGATAGAAATCAACCACTTAGATTATGAGGACTACACATTTTTAAATACATTTGCAGTCAACAATAAATTGGGTATTTCTTTGGTCAAGCCCATGTAATAAAGTCAATTTTTCTTTGTGGGAAAGAAAAGAAAGTATAGTATCTTTAATTTTTAAGTGAAAAATCTGTTAGCAGTCAACTCAATTTTTTTTTAAAATTCTAGTCAATGTAACATAATTTAATATGAATTTGTTAGCTTGTTATTAGATACTGATTTGGTAGGAGATCAAAATGAAATAAATTTGGAGTTTGTAATAGGACTTTTCTTTGTTCCTCTGGACTTTAAATAAGTGAGGTGAATTACCTGCTAGCAATGTCGACAATATTTTGATTGCGTTTGTGTGATATCTAGGTTATGCTCCGATAATTGATATCAAAGCTACCAGCTTTCATTTCCACATGGACGCAAGCCTGCTGCAAGTCGGTTGCATGCTGCACATCAATGGACCCTGGCTTGATCAAGTTTATTGCTCTCTCAAACACATCAACACTTGAGTTACATCTGCACTATCTTTAGAGGCAGTTGTCAAATCTGCTTACGCTGGTTGAATTGAGTTGAAAGATTCACATGATCCGTTCTAAGCAATGATCCCAAGCTCAATGCAAGATTGTTTGCTGTGCTATTTTCTAGCTTGCTCTCCGCTGCTAATGCAAACTATCTATTGATAAAGAGTCATCACAGAAATTGAAGCACGAAGATTGAAATCATCCACATAGAAAACAGATAGAGAAATAATCTTCACAAAGTAATACAGATCCATCACACTCGAGCCTCCTTACAAAGCTAAGACTTCCATTATATCCCTTGGACCTTGAAGTGCCGAACCTTAGATTGTTGAACCTTAGTGACAATCATACAAAACCTTGGAAGTGATGCTAGTAATAAAGTTGCTTCACCACTACATTCTTGTGTAGTATAAGGGCAAATAACTAAATGAGTAGTGCTGGGACTAAATGGTGGTAAAATAATGGTACAAAGCTGTCTAAACGAGTTAGAAACACATTCTGCAAAATGATTAGAATTGATGATGAAGTATTCGTTCAAAATGACCCAAAAATGACTATAGAGTACTATATCAAATTGTTAAAAGAAGTGCTAAAGTAATGATAAAATATTGCATGAAGTTACCTTAAATAATAATGAAAGAGAATTTGAAGTGAAGATCAATTAATGACATAAGATGTTACATAATGATGATAAAGAGATATACAAAGTGATTCTAGATAATGATAAATCAAATTTTTAAAATGTTTCAAAATGTTGATAAAATATATGTACAAAGTGATTAAATCTACTATAAAATTAAAAAAACATAATCCAAAATGATGACGAAAGTTTAGTATCAAATGCTCCAAAATGATGACAAAGTATTGATACAAAAGGATTTGAAGTGATGATAGAGCATTAAAAAAAAGTAATCCAAAGTGAAAATAATTTAATATTTTTAATTAACCAGCATCGATCATTAAGTATTGATATAAATGTATAGAAGTGATGATAAAAAAATGATATAAAATGACTCAAGGATTGATAAAACAATGAAACAAAATAATAAAAAGTGAAAATAAAGCACTGATATCAAATGAGTAAAAGACTTTGAAATAAAAAGTTTTACAAAAAGATCTAAAGTGCTGATAAAAATTATCTATCCAGTGTAAAAAAATGAGGATAGGATTACTTCTACAAAATTGTATAAACTTCAATACAAAATTGATATCAATTGGTCAAAATGATGACATATAAGTTGCATATAATGATTGAAGTTATGATTAATTTCTACTATAAAATGGTTTGAAATTATGTGATTGGTTGAAGTGATTTGTTGAAGGATGACTTACGACATAAAATTATGTTATTTTTACATACTCTTCATCTTATATGAAACTTAATGTGACTTGTGAAATGTCACATTTATAAATTGACTAGAAATATAAAAAAAATTTGGATGTAAAGCTATATCCACATCTAGCATAAAATTTCAGAACATAATGATATTGGTCTGTTGTGTGGGAAAAATAAACATTATAAAATAGATTTTCGTATGAGAACAAAGTCCCTTTATAATACTTCTCCATAGTGACTCAAAAGGTTAAAGTTAAGAAGTATAACTTGCTAAATAATGAATTAAATATCTCAAGATATAATTTATGCAATTCCTTAAAGAACATTGGTGATACATAAGTTATTTATTTTGCTTGTTCATTCATTTTGCTTTACATTTGAAAATAAATTTTAAATTTTATCAGTATCAAAAGATTTAAATTTTATCTAAAATCATCAACCCTGTAAAATGGAAATATTGAAATCTTTCAAAATTAAATTTTTTATGGAGTTGAATTGGATTGACTCATGTCAAATTGGTACATGATGTAAAAAAAAATCGAATTGGTAAAAGTTGATGCATGCTATACTAATGTAGAGTTACGGAAGTCGAAGTGATCTCAACTTTTAATAATTGACAGGAATCTGGAGTACAGTCGACTTTGGAGCGACTCGTACTGAAAGCGGCGCAATCATTACGACGCCGTCTGTGGGACCATCGTCAGTCTATTCAGCACAACGATTCTCGCCGTCACTCTTTATCTTTGAGCTCCGCCGATTCCCTTCGGACATGGCCCGCGTGTGCAATGTTCCTAGATAAGGAACTCCTGGCAAGCGTCGACGAATTTTCTCTGGCATCGGTTGGGCAACCAGGAATTTTAAACGTGCGCCGCAGAAAAATTGATGATCCGCGTTTCAGAAGTAGTGCAGGTGATGTTCAGGGAGACGCGTAGTTCTCCAGTATGGGCCAAGGCATCAAGAGCTGGTGTTTGTAATGTCTTTAATTTCGTTGTTCTAGTTGTCGTCAGTTTTAGGGTTCGTCCTTGTCCATCTCTTGGTTGGAAGTCTCAAATCTTTTCCGACCGCATTCAACTCTTCGACATCGTTGGTTACGTTTTCTTATGGTGACCATGAAATCCTGGTCGATAAATCATGCGAAATGTTTTGTCGCTGGACTCGCTTTAGTCAGATTTTGTTTTCAGGATTTCACTCTCCGTCCGATCAGATCTTAGATCCTCATAGACAATGATTTATGGATATTTTTTGATTCAATTAAAATTCTCTTTGATTTTGGGACCTCTGTTTCTTCGTATCAGTTAGGAGCTCTAATTGAATAGCTCACAAAATTGAAAAGTTATATGACACCATCCTAATTGGAAGGAAGGTGCGATCCTAAAACAAGATTGACTACACTTACACAAAAGATAGTAGATCAATGGCTCAAATTATCTAACGGAACTTGTATCCTCGTTTGATGTTTCCGTTCGGTCTAAATATTACCGGGGATTACGACTAACAGGGTACAACATCTACGAAATTGCTCAAATTCAGGGTTCATTATGCGCATAAGTCCACTTTCCGCTTATAAGTTGATTGAATACTTCCACGCACACAAACGACTCCCCATACCACTATACCTTCTGAGAACAGAATTATGCAATAATCTGCAAAATCCAACTGAGAATCTGTCAGAAATTGGAAGTCTAATGTCCGTTTCTGTCCCAGTTTTGAGGACATTTGTATGTAGACACACCGTCTTCAGTTTCTAAGCGGGCATTTTGCAGAATTTCGTCTCATGAAAGTAGCCGAGCAGACATTACTTCTTTTAGAGATCAAAGATTCACACGTTCGCTCATCTTTGAGTGATACTCTTATCTCACGTGTCTTCCATATGATAATGTCAACGACATCCAGATTTCTGAGCTTGAATGTAGCAGACACATGTGATTGACTGATGCTTGCCAGCAGCAAATTGATACTAATTTTCAGACGGTAAGTCAAGCGGAGCTTTGAGCGACCTAAGAGAGTGAGTATATTCATGTCTGCTGGATCTTATAATTAGTTTCTGGATCATCTAATGATAGTGCTACGAGACGGGGTATCTTGTGGGATAAAAGGCGACCACTTCGTGATAAGGCTGAAGTTTGTAGGCATAACAGCCGACCCCCGAAAATCAAAGGAGACGAAATTCAGATGAGATTGGGTTCTGGGAGTTGCGTTGTCTTCGATAGCCGTGTCTGAACTCCGGCTCCAACTCCGGGGCAAAATTCTCCACCAAATATAGAGAGAGATGGACCTCGTCTCGGCGATCTCGCATGTCTCCTGGCGACGATCGGATCAGGTTCGACGTCGTGAACATCATCCGAACGAAGTCTTCGCTCGCGATTCTCTATGGGCCTCGACGGCAGCTGCAAAGACAATCCTCCTGGGATTCGGGAAAGGACTGAGAAGAGGCGATCATCAAATGTCTCTTGCCTTGTCTGAACTCCGAGATGGCAGTTCCTCAGGATGCGAAACAAGGATTCCAGCAGATATTCTGTTGAACCTCACTGCTTCGAGTACAGTGGTGGAAGCGAATCACTCTCGCCATTGTTAATGAGTTCTTCACGAGAAGCTGCGCTAAAGATAGACCGATCCTACTCACCGTGCTTAAAATATTTTGATCTGTGACTCAGTCGAGCCCCACTGTTGGTCAGTCATTTTACGAGGCAGCGAGGACGAGCTAAACCAAACCTGCCAACATTTCTGTGACTGACAAGTGGACCTTGCTTGGCTCACATCCTCACATGTGTTTTTCTGATTAAAGTGCCCGCCCGTCTGGATGAGAGGTTCGATAGCTCCATAGAACAACAGGTCATTTTCAGACTGGTCCATCCCTGTCCCTTGCCGACACTGTAAGGGACTACGTGTAAGTACAATCTCCTCCGCTCAATATTTTATACGCCGTTATCACAGTAAGCAGCTGCCTTTACTAAAAGGAAGTATGTGAAAGCCCAATCTCCTCATCTGTTGCCTCTGTCTATGTGTTGCTATCAAAATGAGCAGAGCCGAGCTAGCGGATGGCGGTAAGGCCGTGCAGGAGAGTCATGATACAGGGGCATAGTATAGTGTATTATATAATATGTGAATTCTTCTTAATCCTTGCACCTCCGTAAGGGGTATCTTGGGTCTATGGAACCACATGACCTGCAAATCACACCAAGACCGAAGTAGGAAGTATCTTGATAGTATCGATGGAAATGAGTAGGACAAGCACTCAGATCGAGCATTGCGATCGTCCGTAGCTGGAGCAGATATCACTTGGTTTCTCCCAATAGTGGGTGATGGGGAAGCTGTATGCCTCGAATAAGTCCCCAGTGAATGCAAAATCACGACGAATCCGTGTTTTACCTGAGACTCGAAACTCTACTCGACATAAATACCGAAATAATATATAGCTATACGATGAATTATCTCACAGATGCGTGGTTTCCTGGACCAGGTCCACCAACTTTGTTTGCACAAGAGACGTGTACCCCGTCTTCAGATCATCCGATGATAATGATATCGACCACAACTGCTGCATGTGCATGCGTGATTTGACTTAAAGTAAGACTCAGTGGCCCCAAGTGGCACGCCGGTGCAGAGGACGCAACACCCTACATCGTACTGTTTTGACAGAAAGAATAGTTGGCCGATGTAGGTCCGTCTGTTTGCTGCTCCCAGCGTTGCTCTCTACGCCTGTGCTCTAAGCTCCCGGAGGATTGCATCGAAGCACCCGATTGAAGCTGTGAAAAGACAGCGAGTTACTGAAGGGACACGAGTGAAAAACAGAGAAGTCCGGGAGGTCTGTGACGATTCCACTGTAACGTCGGAGAGGGCTACGGGAATAATCTTATTTTAGATTTAACTGGCTCGGAAGCATTGTGCAGCCTGAGTTCCAGTGTCTGAACGGGAGAAATCGGCCACGAGATGAACACCGAAGGGCCTCCGGCCGCGTCGAATGCATGAACCTCTGAAGCTATATCAAGCCCAATCTGCCCTCAGACAGCAAGATAGGAGCAGCTTCGAGTTTCTCTTCATTCTCTCTCCCACAATTAGTTCTCGCAGTGTATTTTCCTGTCTTCTCCCCGGGGGCGCAGCTGCTACTCAGAGTGGTGCTACCAGGCGAATTTCATAGCTACTAGCCGCAGGTGTTTCATATTCCCGTGTTGGTGGACTCGAGAATAGACTGGGAACTGGTTTCGGTAGAAACTCATTCCTTCCGAAGAGACGTGCAGACCTGGAGTCAGGTTGCAATCAGCTGGAGAAACTTGGAAGTCCTTCTCAGTCAGGTAGCAAACTTTACAGCTGCGTGCCAGGGAGAGTGGTACACGTATCAGGAGTTCGAGTTTCTTATCTCAGATCGGACATTTATGATATCTGAGACCTCTTTCCTCACTGGAAAAGATGACAATCTAGAGACGATTACTGTTAGTCGGCAAGAATTCTCGAAGTCTTACTTGCCGTTATCTTCACAGATCCACTGCCGATCGTTGCTCCTTCACACGAAGTGAATGACACTTTTATTGAGGTTGGTGAGCAGTCACGAGCAACTGCCGACGTGGTCGCCACGGCTCTGCCACCATGATCCCTGCGATCGACTTATTAAGTCCTTAGACTCTGCTCTCAATCAGACGAAACCTAGTTCAGTTTCTTCAGAGAAAGGCTAGAGCTCTCCAGCTAGGGGAATTGCGTTTCTATCATGGCACATTCACAATCGCTCACGCTGGTTGCTGGAGACATAGGAGGCGTGGAGCTGGCTAGCTCAAGCTTCGGTGCACGCCACAGACTCAAGTTTGGGGATATGGACGAGAGCATATGGAGCAACTTGCCGTCCTGCTTACTGCTCGACAAAATTCTGAAGGCTCTACCTCTGATGTCCAATGTCCGATTCCGCTCCGTTTGCAGAGAATGGTACAGAGTGCTTTCATCGTACTCACCTCCACCGAGCGGGGGCATTTGCCTCTTCGGAGCTTTAGCTGAGGTCAGTCACACTGACAGAGTAGATAGTTCTGTACTTAAATCCTGTCCAGAAGTAGGGAATTCTGAGGATATCTGCGATTATCCAACTGAATGTAAGAGGATCATAGTAGACCTGTCATTCCTGCCCAAAGGAATGATACCATGCGCGTCAGCAGGTGGTTTGATCTGCTTCGTGGGAAATCGCAGGAAGCGATCATCGTTACCTTCACTAACCTTCTGGCCCAAAGATTTCTACATTTGCAATCCCATCACCAGGAACTTCAAGCAGTTGGTTGGCAGGAGTAAAGGGCGTCTGGTTCCTGATGAAGTTGACGACTACTTTGTGCAAGTAACCTATGACCTCGTGCTGGACGAGTGCAACAACTACAAGTTTTATGTTGGACGTTTTGGGAACTGCCAGGTCAAGCTGCACATTTACGATTCAGCAACGAGCTTGTGGACAAATATGGTGGCCCCGGAGCCACCTCATCCTCAAAATTATTTGCACTATGACCTCGAGAGGGTTCCGGTGTTCCAGAATGGGGTCTTGAAGGTCATCGACGTACAGATTTTTGATCACAGGGAGATGGAGAAGATTGACATGCAGTCCAGAACAGGACCTACGGGCTTTCAGGTCTCTGCCCACAGCAGCTACGGGGTAGTGGGCGGAAATTGCAGGGCCCTTTTCGCAGTCGAGGTTGCGCTGCATCCTGAAGAGAAACTATGCCTGTGGAGAGAAGAAGCTCGGACCGGATGGGAGGTGGTGTCCAGTCTTTCGAGCGTCGCTGCAAAAGTCGTCCTTCAATGCTTCAAAGACGGAGAGATTCCAAATGGTCAGGATCTCCACTGCCAATTGTGCTGGTTCAACGAGGATTTATTGTGCATCAAACTGTCAGAGTGGGAGACCCATCGCATGCTCACTTTTCATTTGAAAACCAAGCAGTGGCAGCCATGGTATACTCGGTTCACAGGTGCTTGCCATCAAAGCCCACGCTACTCCATGTTTTCTTTCACTCCGAGCTTGGAGCAGGCACCGTGAGAGCTAAGCTTGCAACACCCTGCGGCTAGTAAGAGACACACGAATGAATTAGGTCGCCGAAAAGATCCTGCCCTTGAGTTTAGCTAGATGTACATAGTGAAGGCTATGTCAGGCCTCCGTAGGAGATGGCAAGGGCTTTTCGGATCTAGCACGCGAGATGCGAATACCAACTCGAGTTACAGATGGCTGTCACATAGCTCGTATTCATCCATAGGAAGAAGGACACTAGTAGAAGAAATGTGTTCGTCAGATCAAGGTCAGAAAGACATTGCCTTAATCTCTTCTCAGAGAAGCCTGGCCATCCATGGACGTCACATCCATCGGATCAATCGGGGAACACAAACTGTAGATCTGTCTTCCCAACTGGAATAGAAGTGAAACTGCGAATAGCTGAGTGAGGGACAGGTCCCAATAGATGACTACATGAGCTAGAAGGGGTAGCTAACAACAGAGGTGCTTTGCAGATAGCACCTGACCTTGTATAGTCATGTTTGATTGAAGCTTTCAGTTAACTGTGTCTGCACATGGCAAGCGGAACATTGCTTGATTGATCCTAGCGCCTGTACTTTGTTTGAACTGCCGGAGATATGCAGCTGTATGTATACCAAGCATTTGTAACTATAAAAGCAGAATATTATGAATCTGGGTGCATTCTGAAACTAAGATCGTACATGTTGTACTATGCCTTGGCCTAAGGTCTGCTGAGAGATCATTTCCTTGCTTCTGGAAGAGCATCGAACGGCAGGTTTGAGGAAAACACCTGATTTGAGAGATTATTGCGGCAAAAGGGGTGGCCGTCGTGTAGTCATGAAAGCAGCAAGAAGCCACTTCCCACCATGAACAGTGTTTGATATTGCCTCTGTGCCATGTTAATTATGATTGATGGGGATGCGAAAAAAACGTTACCGCACATATACACTCTAAGACGGTGCCCCCATGTTTCACAAATAGACGTGGTTAATCCGATAATGCTCAAGGTAGATTTGGATCGGCGGGATCAACCACTATGGCTCTGTTTCTGGGGAACTCTCAAAATACTGGAGGTCTGTTTGTCCTCTCAGCTTTCCGAGGCCTCCCTGGCGACAAATTTCTGTTCTCACCGGCCTCAGCTAATCGGGCCGATACTGTCTCTGCCGATACGGTCTGACGGTTGCTGATTGAACGTCCCAAAAGCTCGCAGAGCATGTAAGCATGTGGGCACTGAATCAGGCAAATCACAGAATATGTTTGGACTGCAATCCCGAGTCGTAGCTCGCAATGGAGCTGGATTCAAAGCAATGGCATATTGATCCGTAACTGCAGCATGAAGTCAAGCGTGCAAGGGCACGCACTCTGACGCACCGGAGATTCAGAGGTCTCTATACGCACAGGGGGATATTTTAATGAATCATTCATTGGCTCTTGACTGAGCTCAGACAGAACTGCTACAAAACAAAAAGTTCCCCGAGAATGATTGAGATACTCAAATGTTCAGCTCTGTGCATCTAGAACTCCATGAGTTCTCGTCCACGCGTATTTCCAATAGGCAAGTCGGCCAAGATAGGCACATCTTTCATGACCCAGTTATGTGGAATAACGAGCTCCCCTTTCCCCTTTCCAATTGTGCACTGCATCTTCAGTGCCATGTGCATGCAAGTATATTCGCAGGCGCTACTCCATTATCTCGGGAAGAGTGTTTTTTGTGGATTGCTCGTGAAAGGCTACTCTTTCGGGAATATTCCAGTTTGGTGGATACAACTGCCTTCGCCAACCTTCTTCAGTTTTGGTTTTCCCCTTCCTGTCCTGTCAGATCTCATTATGATTCACGCACACATAAATTGCAGGACTCGTAATCTCACTTTGCTACTTCAGCTGTGAGCTTCATGGAAATCGATGAGGTTTATTCTTTTGGGTGGACATGCATCAAATACTTTTTGGAACAAGACAAAGAGGTAACCATGTGGAGAAATGGTTTTAATCATACATTCCAAACGTATTATTAAAAACTAATCCATAGAATATTATGTACATGTCCAGCGCTTCCAAATCAAAGAATCAATGTCGATGTACATGGTCTTGTCTTGTCACCTCGGCGAGTTGCAGAATGAACTTGGTTGGTGACGTGGACCCTTGGCCTTCCCCTTGACCCGCTTGCCTCCTGTCACGCTGCAACTTTGGGTAACTTTTATACAGTGGAACTTTATAAAACTGGATCGGTGAGTACAGCTTTTAAATCTGTTGAGAAAATGTAGGACCATAGTGAGGATAGAAATCTATCACCCTGTAGAAAGAAATATATATATATATATATATATATATATATATATATATTTGTACTAATAATGGCTGTTGGTACCCAAATTCTGAAAATGAGGTGAAGTCCAAATACCCGTTGCAGAGCCACAATTTGCAACTTGGCATTTAGAGAGACATACCAAAGATTGCTAGGAGCGAAACGTAGTCATGGAAGCAATTCTAAACTCCCAAAATTGTGGACATTGAAAGTGCATTTGGGGACCTTAGGGAACATTTTACGTGCAATTGTTGTGGATTCGTGGATCACTCCACAACTACTCCTATCGGAGTAGTTGGAATTCCGTTATTTGTGCAAAGAAGTCCGTTTGGAAAATTTTACCTTTCCGGGGAGATGTATATCTTGACCTAAGAAGGAGAATGTACAATTTTGGGCCAAAGTTTTCTATTGAGTTCAAAATGGACAAAGAACGTGTTAAATTCAGCGCAATGAAGTACCTCAACCCTCGCGTGCTTAAAATGACCAATGCATAATAGTTGGACATCGTCAAGTCTTCATAATAATGGAAAGTATTGTTTATGTTGAACCGAAATTTCTTCCTTCAGCACATCACGCATGTGAGTATGCAAGTGTTACAAATATTGAAGGGCTTTCTTGTAATAATGTCTGATATTTAGAATAAATGATTTCTAAGAACGTTGATATGATGACGCAGCGCTTTACACAACGAGACAAGGCAGCAGTTTATCTATCATACTTCCTAGTGCAATTTTACGTCAAAATGAAGTATTTGATATACCAAGAAAAAAGCTTTATATCAGATTGTAGACATAACTCTCCAACGTGTACAGAATTAAATTGAGTAGGATAAAATAGATAAGTTTCAAGCGTAAATTTCCCACCGCAAGTGGATCCTTCTGTTGCCAAGATGGTCTGGCTTGTTCATGTTTGGACTATGAAGGGAGACCAATTTTAGTTCAGAGAAATAAGAGTCACATGCTTTAAAGTATCCATCGGAATCATCGAACATGAAGACCAACATGGGTAACCCTTCGAGTCCTACGACTTCGGGGCACATGCAAGCTCGGCAGAAGATAATTGCCACCAAGACTTTATCTTATATGAAAATATGCATCATATATATTTGATGTTGCAGCAGGTGTAGAAGCTAGAGACAACTGCGTTACCCACTCTCATGGAGTTAAACTAAATGGAGTCTTTGTATATTCCAAGATGGGATCTTGAGATAGCAGTGTACATACTACTTGATTCAAACTATGCATGATGTCGTATCAAACAAGGTGGATTAAACGTGGATTAGTCTTTTGCAATTTGACAGCTCACCGCCAACACCAACGACATGGATCAATAAAAGCAACTATGAGAAGAAAAGTTGTGAATGTCTAGGCTCTCTTGCAAGAACATCACTTGCGCTAAGAGATGGAACTGCAGTCGGCTATACCCACAAAAAATGCAAAAAAAATTACAAGCGTTGAAATCTCAGTTGCATAAGATAAAGAGGTGTGGTAATCCACTTTTTGTTTTTGTGCAGAATTTAAACATTTTTGGAAAACAGTACCGCAGCAACAACTGTAAATAGTAATCGGTACACTAAAATAGAGTGAAAATGGATGATGGCGGGTCCAGGAGAATCTTGGAGAATCATCGAGTTGGGCGCAATGTCCGGGATAGGCGCCCTGCCCCGAACGGACGGTTCCTACTGAGGGGAAGCGCCTTTGGCGCAAGCAGGAGAAAAGGCCTTCGGCGATAGAGTGAATCCCTCATAACTGTCTCAATTCGTAACGCCTTGATTTGATTAGGGTTTTGTTGGAAAGAACTTGACACGCTCGTTCTAACGAGCCCCAGAAATCTTAGAACGGATCAGGGATCACTGAGTTATGAATGTCGGAAGTTACTAAGATGGGGCGCCTTCGGCGGAAAAACGCCTTCGGGGCAACGCCTGAACGCCTTCGGCGCCAGCGCATTGATATTAGGTCAACGCCTTCGGTGGTGCAACTTCGGCCGTACTCCTTTGGCGGTACGCCTTCGGCGGAACGGAACACTTGCGGCAAGAGCGCTTTTGGCGGGAGAAGAAAGAACAACGGAAACAACAAGACGCATTGACTTTGGTCAACGCCTTTGGCGACGGACACCTTCAAGGATACGCCTTCGGCGATGCGGGAGAGTGCCTTCGGCGGAAGACGTACGCTTTCAGTGATGCGGAAAGAATAAATCAGGAACCGGCCTGAGACGAAGTTCTTCGCTGCCACGCCTTCGGCGATGCGCGGACAACGGTAAGTCAACGGACACACGGTAGAATCGAATTCAATTTTCAGGCGTGTGAGTCCGCACAACGCCGGAGCGTGATGCCGAGCGTGAGAAGGAAGCTGTTACGCCTCCAAGCCGGCGCTGCGATCAAGTGGGTCGACCCCCACTTCCAAGTGTCGAATGGTGAAATCTTGTTCGCCGAAGGCAGACGTCTCATTCTTGCAATTTCAATTTCGATTTCGCTCGAGCATCGACCGCGTAGCAGGAAATCGGCGGAGAGAAATTAGAGAGAGTTGCAACTAGCGGGTGGTTGCAGGAGAGCGTGCAGCAGCTGAGTGCGCAGCCAGAGGGTTCTTACTAGAGAGTGCGGGAAGCTCGCAGAGTGATCGAGTTCGCATGCAAGAAGCTTGGGGACAGAGAAGGAGAGTTTGCGGACTTCTGACATGCGCGGCCGAATTCAAGAACGCGATGTCGAAGGCTACGCAGCTGCGGATGATTCCACTGAAGCTACCGTAGATTGGATTGCGCGCATTCCAGCGCGAGCTGACTGCAGTGAAACTCGATTTCCTCCTGTGAGGATGGAATTGGTGTGTCCGGATATGATACGCGAGTGGCTACGGGACAAGGATCAACCTACGCGCGGATTGTGACCGCACCCGGAGTGATGGGAAGTCAGTGACTGGAAGCAGGTGTTAGGAAGATGCGCGGGAAGAGAAATCCATCTTCTGTTCGAATGCGAGAGTGTCAATGTCTCGAAGGAGGAAGAAGCTTTCTCCGGGGCGCTGTTCAAGCATAACAAGTCGAGCAAGAACGGGTACAAGACTCGTGACTACAAGGATCGCTTCCGGAGGAATGTCGCGGTAGCACTTATTCAACTCTTGCAGCCGCATCGGACCACCTATATAACTTCTTGGCAGGTGGGGTTCGTGAAGCTGGTGTTATCCGGAGCTCCAATTCATTTGGCTCGCATTTTGTGGAAGGCGACACGACAACATGCATTCGAGGAGAAGGGAGTATCGATCCATCACCTCTCCCCCTTTTTGCTCAATTTCTATCGGTAAATGGGATGTTTGACCGCGACGGAGCGGATACAAATTCCATTGCTGTC